TAGACGAGTGTACCGACATAACCAAATAAAAAAGTCGAAGATCGAACGGACGTAGCCCGCTAAATTTCAAAATTCACCTTACTTTTTGATCACACCTCGTATAGGACGATCTTGCAACATAGAGGTGATCGAGATTATTCTATTTTTCTAGCTCACATAGTTTCAAAGTTTAATTGCAGGCGCTACACTTTCCAAAATCGTTACAGCAATACAATTATTTCGTTGTACCATATCACGATAGAAAGTCAACTACGACAAAGACCACAATATAACACTAAAAGGCATTATAGATACTGAGCGAATTAAATTTGCATAATTTACGTGAATTTTCAATTCTATCCAGGTATCGTACTCGTCAGGATATTGAACAATTGATGTTACAGGTGGTGCTAAATATATTTCCTGTTGACGAAGATTTGATGCATATGCAGTTTCTGGAAAATGACGTTGTAAAAGAGAAACTTGAATATTGTTCCGATTGGTGCAGACATAGTTATAAATATTGTGCTTCGTCATTGCTTTTAATATTTCTTCGGCTACAGCCCAGACTTCATATCCCGATTGAGATTTATGACGTTCCATTTGAGTTTTTATCTTGAAAAAATATAGGAAGCTTTGATAGATCTTCAAATATGTCTAAATGTGTTTTTACAGGTTTTCGAGGCATTCTGAATTTAACGCACGCTTAAATTACTTATAATATCAAATGTTACGTACGCACGCTTATATAATTAATAAATACAATATTGAAACAAAAATGTTTCTAACGCACGCTTGAATACGAGACTAATAAATACACATAACTATAACTCGATGCTTGTTACTCTGTAAACTAAGAATAATCACACGACTGTTATTTACTGAATGTAATATTACTGCTGATGAAAAGATCGACCGCTGTTGAACGTTCAAAACAAATGAGTGCATGATGTTTAAAAGGATATTAATTTTCAATCTTGAATTTTTCGAAATTCGATGTAATAGCGGAAATTGTTGCTTTTGCGTTCAGAAATTTCACGAAATACCGATCTTTGTTTCTAGAAGATGAAAAATGTTTAAATAGTTGAATAAATGTTGAATAAATATAACAATGACTGCATTTTAGCATTAATCATCAAATTTTTTAGTACTAGATTGATCAAATGTACGAGGTGTGTTCAAAAAGTAAGGTGACTTTGTATTTTTAAGAAAAAATATTTATTTATTTATCAATATTTATGTTGTCCCCTTCAAAGTAATCCCCCTCAGATACAATACACTTATGCCAACGGTTTTTCCAATCGTCAAAGCACTTCTCATAAGCACTTTTCGGTATAGCCTTGAGCTCTTTCAGCGATGCAGTCTTTATCTTTTCAATCGTTGCAAATCTCCGTCCTTTCATAGGTCTCTTTAGTTTTGGGAACAAGAAAAAGTCACATGGGGCCACATCCGGTGAATATGGTGGCTGAGGCATGATTGTGGTATTGTTTTTGCCCAAAAAATCTCTCACAAGCAAAGATGAGTAAGCAGGGGCATTATCGTGATGCAAAAGCCATGAATTGTTTTTCCACAATTCTGGGCGTTTTCTTCGTATTGCTTCTCGCAAACGGCGCATAACTTCAAGATAATACTGTTTATTGACCGTACGTCCATATGGTAAGAACTCCTGATGCACCACGTCATGGTAATCGAAGAAAACAGTGAGAAAAACTTTGACATTTGATCGAACTTGGCGTGCTTTTTTCGGTCGTGGCTCATCTGGGCTCTTCCAATGAGACGATTGGACTTTGGTTTCGATATCATAACCAGATACCCATGATTCGTCACCAGTTATGACTCTTTTGAGTAAATCTGGGTCGTCGTTGACGTCATTCAACAGTTCTTGAGCGATCCTCATGTGACGGTTCTTTTGGCTAAAATTTAGCAATTTCGGAACAAACTTCGCTGACACACGTATAGTATCATGCCCAAAACGTTAGAAAAAATTTCATGGCACGAGCCAAGCGATATACCAACATCCTCAGCAACTTCTCTAATAGTGATTCGACGATTTTCCAGAACAATTTTCTTCACTGCTTAAACGTTTTCATCAGTTGTTGACGTGCTTTGGCGTCCAGAGCGAGGCTCGTCATTGGCATCTTCCCGGCTATCTTGGAAAAGTTTGTACCACTTGTAAACATTTTTTTTACTCAGAACAGTTTCACCGTATGCCACCGTCAACATTTTAAGTGTTTCGGAGCACTTTATTTTATTTTTTACACAAAATTTGATGCAAATCCTTTGATCCATATTTTTCGATAGCAAGAAATCGCCGAGCACGCAAAATACTTATAACCTTTACGCCTCTCACAACTAAACAAAAAATGCTATACACTTGAAACTTGGTACAGATGTTCGGGAAGAGTGTACCAACATAACAAAACAAAAAAATCGATAATCGAAAGTACGTTGCCCGTGAAATTTGAAAAGTCACTTTACTTTTTGAACACACCTCGTATGTATGATAGAAGAGAGATACTATTGTTTAAATATGGCATGGTAAATAATGAAAAAGCAACCATTTATGTCAATGATATAATTGCCAATTTTTTCAAAAAATGCATGAAAAATCACCAATCATTTATGGTAATGTTTTCTTGCTCATGTAAATCGCCTTACTTACCTAATGTTCGCGAATGGGTTATTCAACTTGACGTTATGCCAGGAAAGAGTTTAAAACATTTAGATGAATTGCTGCAATTTTCAAAAATGTTACCTCTAGCATCGGCAACGGCGTGTGTGCGTGTGGACGTCGCAAGGAGAGTGAGCATTAGGTGGCCAATAGTTTTTGTTGTTGCTGCGATTTCGAGTGGCTAGCCGAGACGCCATCGGAGGTCAGCCACGAGGTCGCTGAATCCGTCCGACGGAAGCAACATGACGATGTTGGCTTATATCCCATATTTTCATTGGCTCGATCTTAACAAAAAAAAGCAAATATGTGCCTTAAGTAATATAGTAAAAAGTAGTTAATGGTAAGCTAGAAATACTATCTCACCAATATTTATGATTACTACTTTTCTACCCAAACTCTCAAGAAATTTTCCCATTTCAGTGCAGTATGTTGTTTTGCCACTGTCAGGTGGGCCTATTACTGACTAACCAAATATAGTGCTCATTTTAAGGACTCTTTAGATCCAGCTTTTGAATAGCATTGACAATAGTTCTCAAAGTTGAAACTTCATAGTCCTTGAGACAAACGGATATTAAAAATGGTTTGTCAGCATTTATTTGTTCTGTAATGTATCTAGCAGCTGCATGAATTTCTGGATCATCTTTTCCAAAACTCACTCTACAACAGTAGTATAATTTATAAACCAATGCCAGAAAGAATCAACATTCATATAATGAATACCTTAACTTACTTTATAATATCCAGGAGTACAGAAAATCTTCAATTAAATTGAGTTTTTGAAGTTAAAATTTCGTCAGTACAGAATCATTCCTGGTAAATATTTTTTCAATTCATTCTTCAGTTCCAAACCAGAAATATAAATTACAGTGATTAATTCTTAATTCAAGTCATACAATATTATCACATTATATGTACTATCATTAATGTGAGTAATTTTCATTTCATAATGAACTAATACAGTCTTAACGCCATTGTATACAATTAGCTATGAAAAATTCATTTAGTTTGCAAGCTTCTGTACTATCCAGACCAAATACCATATAAATACCATAATAAAAGGCAATGGTCTTTTACATTTTATAATTCTGTATGGCCTTTAAAATGAAAAACATTTATTCTTTATTACAATAATCAACTACACATGCTTCAGACATATTTTCAGAGTTTTTACCTAAAATTGCATATTTTTCCTTGTGAGAAAAGCAAATGAACATTCTCCCTTGTACTCTATTATATACAGCTGCTTTTGTAAATGATCTAATACATGTGTACGAATTTACCACAAAATTAGATATGAAAGATTCTAACTCATTGGTCTATATTCAGAAAACAATAATAGCCTGAAGTGATCCACTTTGTATACAATTACTGAAGACCGTACTGATTATTTTATAATCTTTGAACAAAGCTATTACCTAAAATAAAAAAACGAATTCTACTGTATTTATCAACTTCATATAGAAGTTATAGCGATTAATTTATAAAACTACCTCCTTCAGATATTGGCTCAGTTTAATATCGCATGATAAACTCTGACAGCATACTGACTCGAATCTGCAGCCCAGAGAACTTCAAAAGCCTGTCCAAAAGCCTTGTTTCTCAAGCCTATAAATGTATAAATAATAAATTATCATCGCAAACTACAACGAATCTTCCTTTAGGATTGTGATGAATTATTTGTGGATAGATTTCACAAGCACCCATGTCTTTGACAGTTAATGGCAACTTTTCACCTGAATTTCACTGTGTTTTGCCGATACAATTTTACCATTTATATACATAAAAAATTTTCTAAACGTAATGATCTTTACAATGAAACATGAAAGTTATTGCATATGTGATAAGTTTATTTAATTTTCACATTATTGCAGTCTATAAGATGGCAAATGATAAAGAATTGATAGACTTTCAACTACATTTAGTGGAATTAGGCCTTAATTTTATGGAAGTACTTGAATATATGAGAAGAAGAAGAAAATATATATAAATGATATGTATTAATCATCCCAAAAACTTTTTTTACATTAGCATACTCATCAATAAGCAATATTCATGAGAATTTGCAAAGTAAATTATAGACCTGACATTTGAACATTAAATGTGGTTCTTTCGGCGCTACAGTTTAAAACAATAGTCACTTTTGATCACTACTGGTAGTGTTGGTACTAAATAATCGAACTAGATATTTTTAGTGATGTTACTAGAGTTGCGATTCGCGTCCGTATCCGTCCGCATCCGTATGTACTTATGTGACCGGGGCCTAATCTCTGTTTTAGGGTCTGTCTCCATAGGGCCTGCCTGAGTCCGTCCGAGCCGGCCTAGATTTCTTATGCGGACGCCATCTCTATAATTTCGTGTTCAATGGCGAGTTTCATAGTGAATGCGAGAAACGCATCTATGGAGTGGCAGTACCCGTGGTTTGAAGTTTCCTGTCTGGCTGTCTCTATGCTCTGGCTATCCTCCATGTTCCTGCTCCAATTTTCATTCGGTAAGTTCGTAATTAATAATAATTCGTAACTAATTCCTACTTTTATTTTCATAAAATTGCAAGTTTCATAATCCCTTTTTAGAGTCATATGCACGAAGAGTTAGGCTTTCGAAATCCGTCAACTGTCAAATGACAAGTAGTAGCAGCAGCAGCAGTAGTAGTTGTAGTAGCAGTAGTAGCTGAGGGCAGGTGGTAGGTGAGAGAATCACAATGGCAGCCGAAATCAAGCCCGCGCCCGGGATGAACCAGGACAAGTTCAGCTCCAAGAAGCCTATACTTCTGTCGAAGCTCGAGGGTTGCAATGACGACGTCAATGCCGCCGTTATCATTCCCAGGGTTGACGGCGTCATCAGCGTCTGCGACGACAGGTCAGACTCACTTTTCTATTATGTTTGCAATGCTTCTGATACTCGATGCATATCTATATGATGTATATACGATTAATTTATTTACATCGCATGCTTCTAGCTCGACTCTTATTGGACTCATTGTTTATAATGCAAATAGCAATCGTACAGTCACTTGCATCTTTTGTTAGACTTTTTTCAGACTATTTTTTGCATTGTACATATTTTTTACTCCTATTTTTTCATGTAATATATAATTTAATTAAATTATAGGTAAAACAGCAAGCTTTTTGTTATAAGTAAATAATAATTGTATGACACCTGAACAATCTTTCTTTATCTGCAAGTTCCTAGATAGGATGATTCAGACTGATTGCTTTATCTATCTGGCCTTTAAGCAATGTTTTGCTGTATTTTAGTTATGAATAAATTTTCTAATTACTATTGCAGAACTGTCAGAGTTTGGTTGAAACGTGACTCAGGACAATACTGGCCAAGCGTATGCATGCACATGGTTGCAGCACCAACCTCTCTTGATTTTTGTCCTGAAACCAGACAGCTGTTTGTTGGATTAGATAATGGCAGTATAAATGTATTTATCAAGATCAAATTCATTTATAATTTCTTCAAAAATTATGAATCAAACGAATTTTTGGTTTTGTAGGAGTTTTTATTGGAAAGCGATTACAATCGTATGACAGCCATTCGAGAATACATGGCTCATCAAGCAAGAGTTGCTGCAGTAGTTTTTTCATTGAGCTGTGAATGGGTACTTAGTATAGGTAGAGACAAATTGTTCCAGTTCCACAGTACTGAAAATGGAAAGGATCACATCAAATAATATGTTCAATAATCCAAAAGGTAACGTCTACAAAAAGTTGCTGTACCACATGCATGGAACATACACCTACAACATGGTGAACATTATTAATTTTAAAAATGGTTCAATTTCTGGCATTCGATCAATCTTGGTAGTTGCTACATTATTTTGTATTATTTTCATCAATTTCACGATTTCATCAATGGCTTTTTGTAAGCCATCGCCATCATCTACTTTTCGTTTCCGACAAAATTTATAGTGTCAAGACCAAGCAATAAGATGCATAACATGAAAAGGTTAGATAGGTTAGAAATAATCAACTACAAGAGGTTTTATTTTATTATTTTAAATTTATTAATAATCATATGTTAAATCATTATCAGATGTTTAAACGTGAGAAAACAACCTAACATCTCGAATAATATTTTTGGCATCATCCCACAGGTGTCTACTGGTGAAACATGCAGCATGCCATTTTTCAACGAGCTCGTTTGTCGCAATAGGAGTTGAAGACGATTTAAGTTCCCTCAAGAATGCCCTCAATTTTCTCAAGGGAACATTTATTACATTCAGGTGAGTTGGCCACAGACTGCGGTATAAATTGCTTTGATGCAAAGACCATCTATTTGTTGTAGCATTATTTGATATGCGATTATCGTCCTCAATCGTGCCCAGGACTCTACATGTGCTTCCTCCAATTGTATTAATTTCTTCCATTATCTTTTTTAATACTAATCTATGGCTGATTATATTGATGTCAATGTCAATTATACCTTCATTCTCGTTGGAAAACCACAGAATGAAATTATGACTTCTCATATTTTCCAAACTGAGATTGACAACACGAAAAGCTACTGGTACGTAGCGACGAAAATCATTTTGCATGATGTACTGAATGGTGAATTTCATTTTCACGTTAAGTTTTTCTTCTTCAAATGGCTTTGAATGTAAAACATTTTTCACAGATAGGTTATTCATTATTAAAGAATACTTTCGGTCAGAATCAATCGGAATTTATTTCTTTATAAAAACTGCCTTGACACAATGAAGGTTCAATGCACACTGTAGTGGGCATGCACGCGTCCTGAAACAAAGAAAATAAAATCACCAATCTCGGCTTTTCATTGGATCATAACCCATTAACGTGCAACATAGGCGGTACAACTGAGCATTGCATACGCTATATATTTTTACTCATTATTTTTCATAAAAAAGTTATATACAATTATTTTTTATTCTAAACTTTGTGTTTATTCGCTGAATTTATAATAAATATTTTTATTTTTACAGATTTTAATTATGAGACTAGATGAACGAAAAGTTATGAGAATTTGGACATTAATGCAGGTTATACTTGTTTCGCTTAAAACGTTAAAAGTTATAAAAAAAAAAGAAGAAGGCCTTGCGGAGATGGTGGGTGAAGCCACATATCGTACCGAGAATAAGGAATACTATAGGAGCATTTGCTACAGTATGCCAATATTTTCAAATCAATGATCACGAAGAGTTTACAAATCAATTTAAGATGACACCAGGCAATTTTCAAGAGTTGTATACGTTAATTGCTGATCAGTTGCAGAAGCAGTATCATAATAGAGAGCCAATTTCTGCATATATTCGACTGGCTATAACAATACAGTAACTATTTATATACAATTATGTCAAGTATTTTCATCTCATAATAAAAATAAATATTAATTTTTATTAAAATTTCAGTTATTTCGTTCAAGGAGGAAATGCTTTAACTTATTGCGCGCACTACCGAATTGGAAAAGCTACATTTTTTAAAATCATACACGAAACGTGCTACGTTATTACTTCAGTTCTGCTGCCAATTTACGTGAAATTTCCCAACGAACGGGATTGGTTACGTATTGCCCAGGAATTTGAAGACAGATGGAATTTTCCGAATTGTGTTGGAGCTCTAGACGGGAAGCACATGCGAATAAAAAGACCAGCTCATGCTGGAAGTATTTTTTATAACTACAAAAAATTTCATAGTTTAGTTTTGATGGCAATCAGCGATGCACAAAGTAGATTTGTTTGGTTCACCCTTGGTGATGGTGGTAAGAATAAATTTTTTAAAACAATAAAGACAGAGTAATTTAATTAATTTATACGCAATAATTTCTTTATGTTGTAGGTTCGTTCAGCGACTCCAGTGTCTTTCAAAATACTAATTTTTATAACAAAATTTTGAACAATGAATTGAACTTACCTGCTCCAACAAAGTTGCCTAACAGTGACAGATCATCACCTTTCGTAATAGTCGCTGACGAGATTTTTGGTTTGGGATTTAACTTGATGAAACCGTACAATAGAAGATTGCTGCAGTCAAATCAAGAAAGAATTTTTAATTATAGATTGAGCCGAGCCAGATTCACTATAGAACGTGCATTTGGAATACTTTGTGCAAAATTTCAGTTATTGAATAGTGCTTTAGCTCATAATTTAGATAAGAATAAATTAATTATAAGCGCTTGTTTAGTGTTACATAATTTTTTAATTACGAAAAATGTAATCAACGTTGATGACGATTTTACACACTTAGATAGGCAAATTAATCAGAATGTTATGCGAAACCCTATTTTTATTCGCCAAAACTTGGCAGAATATTTCAGCAATGAGGGAGCTGTTCCCTGGCAAAATAATTATATTTAAAGATAAATAATCTATATTAACAAAATAGAAATAAGAAGGCAGTTTTTATAAAGAAATAAATTCCGATTGATTCTGATCGATTGACTCCTCCATATTGTGTAGAAACTTGAAAAAAACAAAAAAACAAATGGTATATTAGTTTTAAGTATTTAGTAACAAATACATTAGTTTTAATTTTAGATATTTATGAAAATGAATGCGTAGCAAAGCAGTTCCGATAACCTCAAATTGACAATAGTTCTTCGATTCAATTTGCCATAAATAAAAAATGAGTGGAAACACTGAAAAAGATATACTACTTGATGAAGTTATCATACAAATCGTGAAACCAAATAATTTTATTTACGATAAGTCGAATGATAAATACTATACTGAATTTAGATCGCAACGAACACAAGTTTTCGAAACTATTTCCCAAGCGATTTATCAACTATACGAAGTGCACATTACAGGTGAAATTCATACACTATAAATCTTTATTTTAAATAAAAAAATATATATATGTATATATAATATTCATTAATCAATAATAGAAAAAGAGATTGAAGCGAGATGGCTGTATTTAGTAAAAAAATTCAAAGGAGAAAAAGCAAAAAAACGCAAATACCAGACATCTGGATCAGAAAGAAAACCCGAAGTGACCTGGGAATTGTATAATGAGATGTGTTGGCTTGATCCATATCTGAGTCATGAACCGCAAATTTCTTCAGACGATGTGGAGTTTATAACAAAATCAGAAATCACCGATAAATTTTGTCGGAAACGAAAAGTAGATGATGGCGATGACTTACAAAAAGCCATTGATGAAAGCGTAAAATGGATGAAAATAATACAAAATAATGTAGCAACTACGAAGACTGATCGAATGCCAGAAAGTATTCTTTAATAATGAATAACCTATCTGTGAAAAATGTTTTACATTCAAAGCCATTTGAAGAAGAAAAACTTAACGTGAAAATGAAATTCACCATTCAGTACATCATGCAAAATGATTTTCGTCGCTACGTACCAGTAGCTTTTCGTGTTGTCAATCTCAATTTGGAAAATATGAGAAGTCATAATTTCATTCTGTGGTTTTCCAACGAGAATGAAGGTATAATTGACATTGACATCAATATGATGAGCCATAGATTAGTATTAAAAAAGATAATGCAAGAAATTAATACAATTGGAGGAAGCACATGTAGTCCTGGGCACGATTGAGGACGATAATCGCATATCAAATAATGCTACAATAAATAGATGGTCTTTACATCAAAGCAATTGATACCGCAGTCTGTGGCCAACTCACCTGAATGTAATCAATCATTAAAATAATAAAACTCCTATTGAGATTAGCAACATAAGAGCAGGTCGTCCAAAACCAGGTTTGTCAGCTCAGCATCTTGAAGGAGTCAAATTATTAAAAGAAATGTGTAACGCTGAAGTGCATGGAGCTGCAATAGGCTCAACCTGCTTAACTTTCATACCAAGAGACCTTTCTTAATAAAAAACAAGAATTTATAGTAGACACCAGAACAGCTGGATGTATTGGTTTGCTCATTCAAGTTACTTTACCTTGTGCTCTATTTTCATCTAGGGCAGCAACTTATATTCTCAAAGGAGGAACTAATGTACCTTTTGGCCCTCATATAGAGTATTTAAGTATGTTTTTAGACCTCTGTTGAACAGATTTGGTGGAAATTTTGAGCTTGATGTTTATAAGAAAAGGATATTATCCTCAAGGAGGTGGAGAAGTTCATATGCGTGTAAATGCCATTCAGATTTATCTTTTTTGTAAAGGTGTATAGTTAAAGGTTTTCCAAATAGTAACTAATAAATATAACTTATTCTGAATTGAATGGTTTTTTAAAGAAAAATTAATCGTTTTTATTATATACGTTCTTTATAATATTTAAATATTTTTTTATATTGTAATACGGTTTATGTCAGGATCTTTCAAACATGAAACTACTAATAATCAATAAAAATGAGTTGAGAAAATAAATATATTAAAGAAATAAGAGCAGTTAGTCTTTATTTTTAATATTTATTCTTCATTAGATATCATAAACTTATCCATAATAGTTAATATCCCATTAACACATTCCAACACATGGGTTGATGGGACATACTGCAAACTTTGCTGTATACATAATACAAAATTATCTTTAATCTCTTCATTATCACTATCCTTCATTAAAATGTTTATATTTTCCATAGCTGTACTTGTATTTTTTAAAACTTTCATTTCTAATTCTTCGAGATGAGTTTTCTTATTAAAGTAACATTGGCTTACTGGTGGAATGATTTTATCGTTCTTTTCACTACATACTTCAATATCTTGAGTTTTTGATGTTGACGGCTCATCACTTTCTGTTGATCCCAAACACTGGTATTTTTTCATGACGTGAGGGATGAGAAATTGAAGTTCATTGTATAAGTAGTACTTGCTTAAATGAGGTTTGTTAAATTTTCTAACAAAAGTCCTTCTTATATTTTCCCATTCCTTTTTTACAATAGCACCTAAAACAAAAGTAAATGCAGTTAATGTATTTTCACTCTCTGTATATAAAAAAATACTATAATAATATAAATGATAACTTACCAGTCAATAGGACATTTAACTCTTTGTCAGAATTAATTTTAGCAGCTATTTCATTGAAAGCCTTATCTTTGACTTTTATTAAATAATAGTTTTCATGTGTTTTATCATACAAACATGAATAATTTTTCAAATAAACACAAATTTTTTTATCGAGATTTATATTTCTTTCGAAAGACTCCTCCATATTGTGTAGAAACTTGAAAAAAACAAAAAAACAAATGGTATATTAGTTTTAAGTATTTAGTAACAAATACATTAGTTTTAATTTTAGATATTTATGAAAATGAATGTGCAGCAAAGCAGGTCGGATAACCTCAAATTCAGGTGTAGCACAACACTCAATGTACGTTGTACGAGGTGAAAATGGATGTATATCCTTATTCAAAATTAAATGCGTAGCAAAGCAGTTCCGATAACCTCAAATTGACAATAGTTCTTCGATTGAATTTGCCATAAATAAAAAATGAGTGGAAACACTGAAAAAGATATACTACTTGATGAAGTTATCATACAAATGGTGAAACCAAACAATTTTATTTACGATAAGTCGAATGACAAATATTATACTGAATTTAGATCGCAACGAACACAAGTTTTCGAAACTATTTCCCAAGCGATTTATCAACTATACGAAGTGCACATTACAGGTGAAATACATACACTATAAATCTTTATTTTAAATAAAAAAATATATATATGTATATATAATATTCATTAATCAATAATAGAAAAAGAGATTGAAGCGAGATGGTTGTATTTAGTAAAAAAATTCAAAGGAGAAAAAGCAAAAAAACGCAAATACCAGCCATCTGGATCAGAAAGAAAACCCGAAGTGACCTGGGAATTGTATAATGAGATGAGTTGGCTTGATCCATATCTGAGTCATGAACTACAAATTTCTTCAGACGACGTGGAGTTTATAACAAAATCTGAAATCACCAATAAATTTTGTCGGAAACGAAAAGTAGATGATGGCGATGACTTACAAAAAACCATTGATGAAAGCGTAAAATTGATGAAAATAATACAAAATAATGTAGCAACTACCACGACTGATCGAATGCCAGAAATTGAACCATTTTTAAAATTAATTGCATCTGGTTACAGTAAAATACCAGAATCAAGAAAATACCAATGTACGAAGGAAATAATTTTGTACATTGCAGAATTTAAGAAAAATATTGAATAAAAAAACGTGCATTTATAACCTTTAATTCTTATAGTTTTGTTATTTCATTGTTTATACATAAATATATAAATATATATATATATATATATATATATATATATATATATACTATGAAAAACAAAAGGTTTTTTTATTATAAATTTTTAATAATGCTCACCATGTTGTAGGTGTATGTTCCATGCATGTGGTACAGCAACTTTTTGTAGACGTTACCTTTTGGATTATTGAACATATTATTTGATGTGATCCTTTCCATTTTCAGTACTGTGGAACTGGAACAATTTGTCTCTACCTATACTAAGTACCCATTCACAGCTCAAAGAAAAAACTACTGCAGCAACTCTTGCTTGATGAGCCATGTATTCTCGAATGGCTGTCATACGATTGTAATCGCTTTCCAATAAAAACTCCTACAAAACCAAAAATTCGTTTGATTCACAATTTTTGAAGAAATTATAAATGAATTTGATCTTGATAAATACATTTATACTGCCATTATCTAATCCAACAAACAGCTGTCTGGTTTCAGGACAAAAATCAAGAGAGGTTGGTGCTGCAACCATGTACATGCATACGCTTGGCCAGTATTGTCCTGAGTCACGTTTCAACCAAACTCTGACAGTTCTGCAATAGTAATTAGAAAATTTATTCATAACTAAAATACAGCAAAACATTGCTTAAAGGCCAGATAGATAAAGCAATCAGTCTGAATCATCCTATCTAGGAACTTGCAGATAAAGAAAGATTGTTCAGGTGTCATACAATTATTATTTACTTATAACAAAAAGCTTGCTGTTTTACCTATAATTTAATTAAATTATATATTACATGAAAAAATAGGAGTAAAAAATATGTACAATGCAAAAAATAGTCTGAAAAAAGTCTAACAAAAGATGCAAGTGACTGTACGATTGCTATTTGCATTATAAACAATGAGTCCAATAAGAGTCGAGCTAGAAGCATGCGATGTAAATAAATTAATCGTATATACATCATATAGATATGCATCGAGTATCAGAAGCATTGCAAACATAATAGAAAAGTGAGTCTGACCTGTCGTCGCAGACGCTGATGACGCCGTCAACCCTGGGAATGATAACGGCGGCATTGACGTCGTCATTGCAACCCTCGAGCTTCGACAGAAGTATAGGCTTCTTGGAGCTGAACTTGTCCTGGTTCATCCCGGGCGCGGGCTTGATTTCGGCTGCCATTGTGATTCTCTCACCTACCACCTGCCCTCAGCTACTACTGCTACTACAACTACTACTGCTGCTGCTGTTACTACTTGTCATTTGACAGTTGACGGATTTCGAAAGCCTAACTCTTCGTGCATATGACTCTAAAAAGGGATTATGAAACTTGCAATTTTATGAAAATAAAAGTAGGAATTAGTTACGAATTATTATTAATTACGAACTTACCGAATGAAAATTGGAGCAGGAACATGGAGGATAGCCAGAGCATAGAGACAGCCAGACAGGAAACTTCAAACCACGGGTACTGCCACTCCATAGATGCGTTTCTCGCATTCACTATGAAACTCGCCATTGAACACGAAATTATAGAGATGGCGTCCGCATAAGAAATCTAGGCCGGCTCGGACGGACTCAGGCAGGCCCTATGGAGACAGACCCATAGTGGGATTGCTAGGTGTAGTTATGAACCCCGTAACCTATCTACAAACTTATTTTTTATTAAAGAACGATAACTGTAGATGAACAAATGAATGCAAACAAAGAAATAGAAACGCAAAAAAATGCACAATTTTATTTTATAAATAACATATAAATTGGATAAAATGATTAAATTCAATCGATTTTGAGCGCCAACTGTTAAAACCAGTTGATCATCAGTGACTACCTTCAATTGTATATTATATTATGTTACTAATATTTGAATCTATATTATAATAATAATAATAATAATAATATACTACGTTATGTTTGTGATATTTCGATTCAAAAAGGTATTTACATAAACGACTATTTTTTTAATTAAGTGTAGTAGTAGTAGTAGTAGTTTTAATATAGTTTTTAATATAGTTATCTATTTCACATAGATTATTTACTCTACATGCAGCACTAAGTACATTTCTCACAAACTAACTACAGATATTAAATGTCAAGAAGGGTATTTATTTTCTTATTGTAATTCGTAATTAATTTGTAATTAAAATTTTTATGATACGAAAGTTAAGCATTGGTTTAAATTTATAAATTAATATAATATATGTAAATTGTAATTTTTAAATCAAAATCTTAGAATACCACATAAGTAGTAATTAACAAGCTTCATACTTGAAAAGTTATATAACAAGAAATAAAGATTAAATGTACACTTAATGCCTTATGATATATATTGTATTTTCCTACAAGTATTTCCTCCATTAAACATAAATATTTCAATTGAATGATTTTCATAAAATTTTCAAAAAATGATATTTACTGCACTTATATTGCATATTAGTTATAATATAAAAAATATATATGGATATTTAATTAATGTATATCCTTTTAATCTATCAATCTCACAATTTTTATGATTATTTTTATCAAGTTTTAAAAATATTGCCAAGGAGTAATATGTCATACATGTTTTTCAAAATATGCAGAATCAGTATCATCAAAGTGATATGGTATATATTTCAAATTTCTAGTATCAAGTTAATATAAACTTAAATTATACTGTTCTTTAGTTAGTAGTTC